CCATTGCTTCTTGTTAAGAAAATTGTCACTGAATAATTGACCCTGGTGGCTAGAGCGGGCTCGGTGAAAGCTGGGGGGGACTTAGAATTCCCCATTTTATACCCACTGTGGCTGCTGTGCTGTTTCGGTGCTCCAGGCGGCTGAGGAGAGCTGTTGGGGTTTCCTAGTTCTCATGTGGTATTATAACCGCAATAGTCGTTACTTCCCGAGGTTCACCAGAAGTGACTCGGAGCAGGGATCAGGGTGGCACCACTCTGCTGTCTCTTGGGGCCTTCAGACAAATTGTAAAGAGGAGACAGGCCAGGGAGCTGGAAGGGAGTAGAGGGGAAAAGATTGTGACTTCAAAGCTTAAAGTTGCAACCATCTGATGCCATAAACAGGAATGAGAGAGTTTCTGCTTATTGCCTGGATTATAATAAATAAATTGGTCACTTCACATTTTGTCTCTTTTCATTGGTAAAACAGTTACATCATCAGGATATGCAGTACTAACAAATAATCCCAAATTTTTTGTGGCTTGAGATATCAGAGGTTTATTTCTTCTTGCCGGGAGCTCCGTAGGGTTGGCAGGAGACTCTGTGCGGCTTTGCCCCCACCCAGCCACCCAAGCCGATGGGTCTCTGCCATCTGGGACGCTGCCAGCAGCCATTGCCTGGGGCAGGGAATGTGGCAAATCCCACAGGAGCTCGTAAAGGCTTCTCATCAAAAATGATGTATATTTACTCATATCTCATTGGTCGAAACAAGTCACATGGCCAAGTCTATCTTAAGGGAAGTATAATCTGACCACGTGTGTGGATGGGCCAGTGAACCAGTCTTGGTGAAGGTTATTGCTGGCTACCACAGGGGTGCAGATACTTATGCGATGTGCACCCCACATGCTGGGACTGACAGAGCTTCACATACATGAGAAAATACTGAATAGAAATGAACACCGTTTGAAAAGGGGTTGTGTTAATAGATTATAAAAAGATAGATGTCTTTTTTTCATTTTTTTAAAAAATGTAATATACTTAAATTTTAAATTAAAAATTGAAAAATTTGTGCAAATGTTAAGTGGTAATCATAGAAGTAATACCCCTTGCCCTCTAGAGTTTTCATCAGTGTATTACCTTCTTGAATGAGGCTTTACTGGGATACCTGCCATAGATTACCCTTATATGGAGGTGTGGTATTGAGCTTGACTTAGCCTCTGCCCTTGGAAAACAGAGAATCCAAAATCATACGCCTCCCAGGTCCAAAGTGCTCTCACAGGTTGTGGGAACTCAGGCTGGTGGGAGGCACCCGGTTAGTGACAGCTCTGGAGGGTGATGACAGAGTTGGGTCTCACCTTACCAGGCTAGTCCTGCCTATGTGGGAGGTCGCAGGGCAGGAAGGCACCCAATCTGCACAGGGTGGCTTTGTCATTTCTGGGTGCCGCCCACTCATCTTCCACTTCTACACTCAAGTGCCACATTCCTGGGGTTGGCTCTTGCGAACTTTCATGGGAGGTCTAACAAGGGCGTTTTGTTGAGTTCTTTTGGCTCCTGCAGGTGATGATGACTTGTCCTTCCTGCACGGCTGTCCCTGTGGCAGTTGCCCTGCTTTCCCTTGCACCACGGCTTGTAAAAGCGCAGGGGATTTTCACTAAACTTGGAGATCTGTGCTTCAGCATAACTTTGGCTGCACACAATGAGTGTGCACAGAACAGGGAGGTATTTAATGAGATACCTAAAGGAGCTGGTGATTTATACAAATGAACCTTAAGCAAGGACTCCTCAACTATTCCTTCATCTAGAGCGGCAATTTTCAACCAGTGTGCCACAAGGATTTTTAAAACATGCAGTGTCTGACTATTTAGTCAGTCAGGGGCGCTGAGCTCTTTTCCCATAGATTGTCAAATTAAAAAAAAAAAAAAAGAGCAACAACCAACACAATAGCTGTCCAGTGTGCATGAATCAAAATTATACCTATTTTTTTTTGGTCAGATCAGCAAAACATGTATTTTTTGGCATGTGCAGAATTTATAAATTAGTTTATGTGTGCCACAAGGTAAAAAAGGTTGAAAATCCTTGATCTAGAGGCTAGGAGTTTTGATCATTATTTCCCAGTATTCTCTTTTCACTAGGAAAGGAATCCTTAGGGGACCATTCCACCACCTCATCTTCCCCTACCCTCACTTCGGTCCGTGTTTCTTATTCTCCAGTCGAGAAGGCCACCCAAGAGGTGCAGTCAGAGTTCCCTTCAAAGTGGGTAACATAGTGACCCCCACCATGGCACCTCGCACATCCCAGCACCTTAGATATTATGGGAAATCAAAGCATATCTATTACTTTTAGGAAGTATTAAATTATAGAGGCTTTTCACCATTTTTTTTTAAATAGGAATGTAAAGCAGATATCTTTGCTGTCAGCTAAGAAATTTTTTCTTCAATATATTCTTGTTACTCTGAAGTGAACCCCTAAGTCTCAAGTACACATTGTAAGTCTTTTTCCTTCTTTTAGCTATAAGCACTTTTCCATGTGACTGAATGATTGGTCTTCCCATTGTGTCTTGTTCATAATCACACCCTCCAGGCAGACTTTGCAGTTAGAGCCGGGGGTGGAGATGTATACCACCAGCTATCGAGCTTTTGTCATTCGGGCATCATGCATCTAATTTCTCTGCGATCTGAGCAGCCGCATTGGATTTTACCTTTTAGGCAGCTCATAACTGTCAACAGGGATGCCCAGAGTTGTCTTGGTGGTTATCAATTGGTCACATGCCTTTTTCTTGTATAAACACTTGCACCTCTTCATTTTAAAGTGGGTTTTGAAGTTTCTTGTCTGTCTTAATGGCCTGTTGACCTATAAAGACTGAAAAGAAGGAGGAATAAGGGGGAATTAAGGGAGAGTGAGAGCTTGTTGAGTTTGTAAGGGAAAGCACTTCACAGCAGCCTGGAGAACTGAGCATGGACACCGGCAAGGAACCAGCAAGACAGTAGCGTGGGGAGGGATCATGGCACAGATGAGAACAGGCCAGACCAGGCATTATCCTGTAATTATTGTAGGCGCTGGAATCAGTGACCTTCATATATATGAGTGTCAGCAACATAGGCACTCGTACATACCTCGCACACATGCGCGCACACAGTTTGAAGATGGGGTGAAGTCCAACAGCAGAAGCCCATAGATATTTTGCTTGCAACAGTAGTCTGTTGTTGGTATATTCCAGAGAAATAGGCTTTTTCACGTATTAACAGATATTGTCTTTGAGACATGTCATTTTGTGCACTTCCGCTGTTCCTTTTAACGTGTGCTGGATCCTGGATGAAAAAGGCATAACTTCATAGAAAGTTATGAATTGGTGGCCTGTTACAGATTCATTCTGTTTAGGAAAGTTTCCGTGTCCATGTGGCTTTCACTCGGTGTTAATCCTTGCCTCCGGTTCCACTTATTTCCTGTGTGTCTGACTTTCAGGGGTGGTTGCTGGGCGTTTCAGGTTGTCCCTGAGAACCAAAGTCATAGCACGACTTCTCTGGAAAGAACTATCTCACAAAAATCTGTTTTCATCAACCTTGTTGCATGTGATCTTGTTTCTGGAGCTCTGAGCAGCCCCCAGGATGCTACCACATTAATGCTGATCAAGCGGTTTGTTGAGGGTCGTCTTCAGAGGTGTGGTTCCTGCCATGATTTAAACCAATGTATTTATCAGACTTCTTTGCTGAGCACTTGTGCTTCGATATTGAGACAGCCTTGGTGTAATGTTCTGCTTATCTTTCAAGGCTTTTGATCCCTGCACAGGAGCTCTGTGTCACACAGTTGGGAGCCTAGCAGATTTAGGGAAGGGGGAGGGCTTCAGAGGTGGGGGACGAGAAGTCTTACCCTTGCCTGTCTGCCACCAGCCCGGAAGTGCAAAGCTGGCCCATACATACAGCTCTTGGCATTCGGAAAACCTTGCTGAAAATGAAATAAAAATTCCTCTGCTGGACAGGAAATTAATCAGGGCTGAAGGTAGTAGATAGGAGCATAAGCTAGACTCCTTGTTCCTTCACAAATGAGTGTTTCATTATTATGCAAATGAGATTAAATGCACAGTGACTGGTGGGGGATGTGAAACGGGGAGAGAAATGAAGGAAGTGAACAGGTTCCTTAGGATTTAAGCTCTGGCAACAGAAATGTTTTTTATAGCATCTGCTTCCTCCATAGTCCATCAAATGCTGAGCAAGGGAAGCTCCTCAGCCTCCTTTGTCCTTGTTTCTGCAAAGCAGCCTTCATGACAGTGTGATAATGTTGGTGTGACTTATTCACTCCATAGTACTTCCAGATCATCCGTGGGGAACCAAGCCGTATGCCAGGTGCCAGGGCTAAGCAATGAAAACACCCCTTCCCTGCCCTCCGGGAGTTTGGAGTCTTGTAGGAAAGGATATTGGAAAGCAGCAAGTGTGCAGAGAACCAGTCACATGAGCAATAGTGTCATACCACTCAGGATTCTTTGGGTGAAAAGTAACTAAAACAGAGCCCAGCCGACATCACCGAAAAAGGAATGGTGGGTAAATGGGAAACTCAACAGTCGTGAAGGAGCTTGGGAAGAAAGCTCTGGAGACATACAGAGCAAGAACTAAGGGACAGTCTCTTCAGGACCCTCAGGTGATTTGACTCCAAGCAACCCTTGGTCCATGCACTCAAGATTCAAATTCCTAAAGAAGGTATCTGAAGGACCCAGTTTGGGCCACTTGCTGCCTACGTTTTGGCTAAGAAAAAGGAGAGACTCGGATAGTCCCACAAAGGTTGTGTGCAATGGCAAAGGGATCTTTGCCCAAAAAGAGGATGCGTGCTAGAGAGGCAACCACGCAGATGTTTGTTTACCAGGGCATTGTCTGAGCTGTTGCTGTGCCTGTTGGGATTTGTTGGTCAGTGAGTATGTTTTGTTTTGGGCATGCTCATTGTTGAGCTTATGATGGTCTGAAGCCATGAAACAGAATCACCAGCCTATGGGTGCGTCACCTCACTGGCATTTCTTTCTTGTACTCTTGATTCCAGTGTGAGCAGTCCCATCTCATGAGAGAGCATGAGGATGTCCAGGAGCGGACGACGCTGCGATACGAGGAGCGTATCACGGAGCTCCACAGCATCATTGCTGAGCTCAATAAGAAGATAGACCGTTTGCAAGGCACCACCATCAGGTAGTAGCCTTCGAGTCATGCTTTCTGCCCCTCTGGGCTGTAACTTGGTTCCTGGGGTGGAAGTCACCCCTATGAATTATAATGATGTTTTATTTGTAACTCAGACTTTTACTATTGTTCAAGTAGTTTCTCTTCGCTTTGTCCACCACACAGTTTCCCCTTTATTATTCTAGTCTAATTAAGGGTAGCAGTTGGAATCTTCAGTTTATTAGGGTGTGGCATCAGAAGTTGAGTGAGATGCTTTATTAACAAGTTCTAAATGGAGTCCCTCTTTCGGAGAGATCAGCATCCCTAGCATGCCTTTTATTCACCAAGTTCGCTCTCAGTGTGTAAACTGTGTGCCTCCATTGGAGACTTTGAGAGATTTAGGAATGAGGTACATAACTAAGTATTACATAGGCTTCTAGATCATCTAGTAATAGTTTAAGCTTACCTCACCTTCATTTACCAACATGGACTTAGCCTTTTATAAATTCCTAAGGTGGGGGCAAGATTTGGTCCATCACTAGGGAAAAGGCTGGGACTTAATGTTAAAGGGCTGCTGCTTCCTTGCTTACCAGTCAGTTGGCCCCTAAGTCTCCTGCACACAGCAGTGGGTGTCTGCTCTGCTGTTCAGGGGAGAGGTTTTGCTTTAAAAGACTTTTACTGAGCTGAGGATGAGAACTGTTATCTTTCTGTCTATGCTCAGGGAATTGCTCTGAAGAAAGCACTTACCTTTACTGAGAACGAGTGCTTTCTCCGTTGAATGTTTGCACAAGCCACAATTACAAGCTTTAGAGGCAGCTACTTTAAACTCTCCCTCTAGAAGTCCAGGTTAGAAGAAACTTCGGGTGCATTTTCTTCCAACTCTGAGAGTCATAGTAATGACAGGGCTCCTTGATGAGGGTACTGTTGGACCTCTGTTTCCAGGGCAAAATCATGGAAAAATGTGCCCTGAACTGGAGCCATGCAATAAATATCATATCCTAATTTAGAACCTCAAGACTTTTAAATTGTATCCTGGTCTTCAGAGTGATTGTAGGTTAGTAATGCATGAACAGAGAACTTTCAACCCAAAGAAACGATTATAGCAGAGTTAAAGGAAGCTGATAGAGTACACTGGCAAATTTGTAATTTTCATTAAAACATGTTGTACTTTAAACACTTGAAGGTGAAGAAAGACAAATGGGCTCAGTAAGTGGTAAAAGAAATGCATCACACATCACCTGGAAAACTCAATTTCAGGATGCTTAAATTGATTATAACGGCCACACTGCTTCGTGTAAAGATACAGTGAGCTTCTTGACTATAAACATTTATTCATGCCTTTTATTTAAAGGAAAATTATATCTGTGCAGATGTCTCATTAAATTCTGCCAGTTTTCATTATGTAAATGAGCTGATCCCTCCTCGAGGTGACTCCCTGAAGGGCTGGAACATTTGCAGACCTGTGGGCGAGTAAGACAAGGCTTTTTTGCCCTCTGAACTCCAAGGGCTGAGGCATTGCCCTAGCCCCGGCACACCGGCAAAGTGGTTTGCCCTCAGGTCCTGAGCGCCTATGACAGGCTCAACACAGTAGCAGCCAGACACCTTGGACAAACTCTAACTGCCCCAGCATATCCAGGGTCTAGAGAATTGATTGTTATATAGTCATGTACAGTTCTGATACCTTACAGAATTGTCACTTCAGTCTGGGTCTGACTCAGGAATTTATTGAAAAAGCTGAAAAATTATTAATAAGGGACTAGTGTATGTAAACCATGGTATACCCACACTTAAGCAACACTGAATTGCTTAAAGAAAGAAAATGTCAGTATTAGTTTTCAATTTTTATCTCAGGTCACATCCAGAGAACCAGGGACCTTCTGTGACTTTCTTAGAATATTATCCCCTCTCTTAACAGCCATAGGGCTCACATAGCTAAAAAGGAAATAACCACAGGTTAGTGAATTCCAATGTAAGTTGAAGTCCCAGCCACATCAGCTCTCTTAGGTAGAGTAAACATTGATAGGAAAAGATAAAATGATGAGAATTTGAATGGAGACAATTGGGTCAATTGAAATCAGACCAGATTCCTAGAGCCTTACAGACTGTACTGAGCTTCCCTTCCTGCAGAAGCAGCCCCTCTGCCTGTTGGATAAAGCTGGCCCTACCCGGCTTGGAAACTCTGTAGCCGTCTGATCCCAGGCGGGGGATGCCAGGTATATTCGTGTCCCACTGCTACTCCAGTGCTCTTTTAGGCCTAAAAGGAGTTATATTTCATCCTGCCCCAGGGAGATAAGTAGAAATTCCAACCTGGGAAGATACAGCTAAAATAGGAAAAGGTTTGTAAGATTTTGTTCATTTATATTCACTGAATCTTGGGGCAGTTTGTGTGGGATTAGGGCCTAAGGGTTCTAGTCCAGGGAGAAGGAATGCAGTCTTGGATTGATGGTGAATTTCTTGATGTGACCGTTCCTGCCAGTATGGTAGTGCCTACTCAGTATGTTAGTTCCAGTAGTTTGATGAACTGAAAAGTAGACTCAGTGGAGGACTACATTAAACAATGTTGAAATGCCGGAACTACAATAGTGAAATGTAGGAGTCTAGAGGCCTAGAGTCAGGATGTTGGGGGGAGATGACATCATTAAAATAGGGTCTTTGATGCCACTTAACTACTGGGCTCAGTGTGGACTTGGTCACTGTGTCAGTCAACAGGGCGACAGTAGCAAACAAAAAGGTTTGACCCGTAGAGATCTTTAATACTAGCTCATTGGTCATAGGGTCACTAGGACTAGAATACACAGGCAGCCTATTGAAGTTTTACTTGATCTTTGTAAATCACAAAACTCTAGTCTGGTGAACAGAGACTTGACATGCCACTGCAATGGAGACTCGGGGCCTCTTACCCAATTTCCTCACTTGATCCAGTACACAGACCAAGAACACCTTGAATGAAGGGGAAGATGTATACAACCCTGCCACAAGTGGGTACAGCCAATCTTGCTTCTCCTCCTTCCAAAGGGAATCACGCCACTTAGAGGGAGACTGTGCAGTGGGAAAAAGAGGCAATAACAGTTCTGGGGTGATAGTTGGCTCTGAGCTGATGCTAGCCCCAGGAGACCCACAAAAACCCATAGTCCATCAGTCAGAGTGGGGATTTGTGAAGGTATACTATTAGTCAGCCCCGGCTGCTGTAACAAAATACTACGGATTGGGTGGCTTAAACAGCAAGAATTTATTTCTTACAGTTCTAGAGTCTGGGAAGGACAAGATTAAGGTGCCAGCCAATTCAGTTCCCATGGACGGCTTTCTTCCTCATTTGAAAAATAGTGCCTTCTCACTATACCTTCACATGGCAGGGGAAAGAAATGAAGCACGTTCTCTGCTATCTCTTCTAAAAAGTCACTAATCCCATTATGAGGCTCCCATCCTCATAATCTCATCAAATCTGATTATCTTCCCAAAAATTCCATCTCCAGATACCATTACATTGAAGATGGGGCTGCAACTCTTGATGGGAGTGGAGGGAGGACACAATTCAGCCCATGATATGGCGCCATTTGTGAGGTGAACATTTTTCAGCGCCCTGGAAACATAGTAAATGCTCCCGACCAGCAATAGTGTGTGGTGCTGCCTTTTTTGGGAGGAGGGTCCAGAGACCAAAAGGTGGAGATAGAAGTGGCTCTTCTCATTTGTGTACCTAAAAACCCACTTTAAAAAATTGTTGCTTCTCATTCTTGCAACTTTAAGCTCTGCTAGTTTAGAAGTTTTAGTTCCCAAGGAGACTGTGACTCCACCAAAAAATACAACAGTGATTCCATTGACTGCCACCAGGCTTTTGGCAATAAAGAGAGTTGCTATAGCTGCTGGGTGTTGGTCCTAACTTTCAAAAGGAAATTGGATTGTTGCTATACCATGGGGCAATGAGGATTATGTCTGGAACCCAAGGGATTCTCTAGTCTACCTCCTAGAAATTGCCCAGTAGTAAAAGTACATTGGAACAACCTAGAAGAAGGAAGTTATAAATATCAACTTAACATCATGACCAGTTGCAAATAAGTTAGTGAAACTTACAGTTTAACAGTTATGAAACTGGAAAAGTCAGCATTTGTGCTGCCTGTCACTACCAGAACCAATAAGTAGAGACAAAGAGTGAATCTTTATAGGCGCTTTATTCAAATGCCAGAGATCCGAGAAGACTGTGGGTTATATACCCTCAAAAACCATCTTAACATCTCATCTGAAGCTCACCTTTTTATAAGAAGAAAGGATAGAGGAGAGGCTTGGGAAAAGATTAATTAGTTAAGAGTTGAAGTCCTGGGTGATTTTCCTAGTACTTTTGATCAACAATTCTTTATCTGCATCCTGGGAACTGGGTCCCAGACTTTCCCTTCCTGGAACATAATGGCTTCCAGACCCCCTGGGGCACAAAGGTTGAGTTGCTTGTGACCTCCCAGAGTCTCTTAAGTCATGCCTTCCACTTCCTGGAACAACAGCTTTCCATGTGGTTTAGTCACTTAAGTCTGTCAACTAAGGCTAAAATTTTTAACTCGAGTTTCCCTATCAGTAGGTTATGTGATATCTAGGTGGATTTGACATTGAACTAGGAAAGAAGTGATGATTTAACAATGGATGCAAAACCTGATGGGACTTTGGGCTTCCTGTTTTGGTGAGAAAGTGAGCTCATTAATATTTGAATGAGGCATAGTTACAGAAGTTTGGTGTCCATTGCTATTGCAATTTGAAAATTTAAGTGTAAGAAAATGTGTATGGTGGTCAAATAGCCAAAGAGAGTAGACTATCATGAATATTGTCTGGCACCTGATACCATTCCCACTCCCTCTGTCTACACTTTGAGGAATCAAAGTGGTTGGAGCATGGGGGCTGCTTCCCAGACACCCTTAACAACCGGGCTCTGCCAGTGAGGTGCACTTGCATGTGTTAGGAAGGCAGAAAGGAAGTGGGAGTCATTATTCCTCCAGCCATAATGGTTGCAGATGATGTTCAGGCTTTGGTGACATGAGGTCCTGCATTAACTG